TCTATTAGTTTACGTCTTTAATTTTGTAATTAAGAGAATTTTTAATTTGGTCCTTACTTTTGCTCGAGTTCCAATTTAATTATTCGAAAGTTAAAATTGGTTTAAATTAATATTAGAGCCCCCATTTTAGATTATATTTCAAACTAGTCTTTTAGTTTAGGGAACAATTCGAGTTGATCCTCGCCTAAATGCTTGAGGGACCATCTTGATTATTTGATTCAATAATTGATTAAAATCAAATAAGATTAATATTAGAGCTTTCGTTTTTAGGTTTGAGCTTCTAGGTTCCTTTAATTTCATAATTTGACACCTTAAGCTAGAAAAAGCCTTTCATTTACCTTAGCTTGATTAGGATTAAATAAAAATTTGTTTAATTTCATTTTATTTTTAAACCTAAGGCAATGTTCACCCATTATGGAATTAATGGTACATCTCCCGCAAGTATGCTCAGGGGGTAACTACTGGTGATTCCCAAAATATGCCGACATCCTTTTCAAAGACCGCATCATGATTTCTAAAACGAGACAATATTCGGTTATTAGGCAGAATAGTTGATCTCCCGCATTTACACTTGGGAGAGAATGCTATCGGTCTCAATAAACGAATACACTTTTCAACTTTGCATCTGTAATGATTTTCAAATTGAATAAAGATCGAATTCAAAATTTTTGATTTTAAATATAGGGTAATCAAGTAGGTATCAATTTTTGGGTACTTGTGGGGGTACTAATCCTTCCCCACGCGTAATCGACGCACGAACCCAATTTCTGGATTTTTGCAGACCTTAAAACTCGGTATTTTGATAAAAAAAATATTTTATTAAAATCACTCGGTTTTCACGGTGTCCCAATCGCACCTTAAATTATTGGTGATTACTCTTCACATCTCGAAAAATCTTTTCAAAGAGAAAACCCTCGAGTTCGTATCGATCTTTTCCCGCCTAGGTAAAAAACGGTGTCGACAATAGTATTATTTACCACTTCTCCATTTGGCTCTTCATCACGACCATTTATTCCAATCTCAATGAAATCATTACAATCAAGATCACAATCATCTTCTCTAACAAGATGGTGATGACTGTGCATATTAAATGCATCTAGCAATATACCTTCCATGTCATCTTCTCTAGCAGATCGATGATGAGAATTAGAAGGATAAGCATAATTAAGCACGGAATAAGATCTACGAGGTGTACACTCTCCATGGAATATCCATTTTTTATAGCCCTGAACAAAGCCAAAAACAATTAGATGCTCGTATACAACTTCACGAATATGCCAATTAATGTTAGCACACTTCTTATTGGGGAAAAGAATCATATTCTCCTGGCTTGCATTTTCAAAAGCTAAATTTAGAAAAGTTTCTACTCCATTTCGATAGACGTCAGTGACCCTTGATAAATACATCTAACTCTTATAAATTTCGTATTTTTGAAATATCCATTTCAAATGTAAACAACTAAAAGATATATTTTTCGAGTCTATCATAGCAGAAACATCAAATGGTTAAAAATTTAAAAATTGTTAGCTTTTCTGTTAACACAACTATTGTTAGATTAACTTGAGTTTATTTTATTTTCAAACAAACAGTGTAATTTTAATAGTTAAAATTATTAATGTTATGCCCCACTAAATTATATATGTTGATGAAAAGTGCATTCCCTAATAAAACCCAATCTACTTACACACCAAGTCAATCATATATAAGACAAGTATAGATCATGCAAGATAAAAATTCTTGAAATTAAAACACAAGGATTCAACCGACTTCTGGTACATATTGCAATCACTCATGAATTTTCCAAATGTTTACTTCCTTTTCTGCTATATGTCCTTACGATTTTCTATATTCTAGTGTTAACTATTCTTTTCTTATTATCTTTTAAATTAATCAAGCTGGGTGATACCTTCATGGAAGCAACCAGCTCATTAAAAAAGAGCATTCACCTGCACTTCGCAAGCTATTGAATCAAAGTTTGTTTGTTCTTTGTGATTAACATGTTTAGTAGACAAATATTTAACTTAACTTTTTAATAAACTTAAAATAGTAGATCAAAAATTAAGAGCTAAAAGTGGATTTGGCATAATTCCTAGCCCTTAACCGTTTTCCACTATCAGCTACTCTTATCAACAAATGTTGGCAGTTCTCAGTTAAAAGATTGCCAAAGCACATGCATTATTAGGAACTAAAACTGTATATCCATTGTTTGCAATGGCTGCTTCTCGATGAAAGCCTAACAGTGTTTATACTTATGGGTGAGATCATACAGTTTCAATTTTCAAATATGTCACGGAATAAAATTGGCGTAGTTATTGGTATTTTTTGGGGTTATTAAAGCTGGTTAAAGTTTTCCAGAAAGTATTTATTTCCTTGATACTATTTAGATTTAAATGTTCTGAAACATACTTTTACATGAAGATGTGCCTCTGAGTAAGACAGTGTCTTTTATCAAGCACGCTACAAACCTTAACTCTACACAGTTACCTCCATTATTCACAGGTCCAACAGATTCATGTGTTGTTTACAGTTTTCTATAATTTTTCAGTTTTCATTTATTTTTTGGCAAAGGCTTAGTATAATTGGCAGCTATTAATATCCGCTCTACAAAGGAGATCTCAATTGCATATCCTTCAACCTCTGAAATCCTTATGAAATGACAATTTTTTTTTACTTTAAAGTTATCTTGTGCATGTTATATCGATGGTTCAGCATGACTGCTAATAATTTTAAAATTTTCATTATCAGGTACCAAAGACTTGAAGTATTGTCAGGATTCACCAATGCTGTAAGTCTTTATTTTCAACATTATTTATGTCAAAATGTTGTGTTCAAGTTGTATTCTGATAGAAGCAGGGATAAGTGTACGTCAGAACTGTAGCTTAAGGAATTAAAAGGAAATCGTTATTGGATAAATTCGCTAAGAAAGGAAATCTTATGGAGAGGACCAAACTCATAATACAAAGCTGATAAACAAATTAATGATGAAAAACAAAGCTAAGACTCATTAGCATAATTATACAACAACAATATTTAATTTCAAATCACAATCCAATGAGTTTTTATGAAGCAAATATAGGATTCTACTTAGGGTTTTTATTAACATGGATTCCATGAGAAGAGATTAAAAGCATACCTGGATTTTGAGTCTTGAGGAGTGACTGGCAGTGTGACGGTGGTGACTGGCGGCGCGACGGTGGTGACTAGCGTGCCGATTTTATGAAGATGCTCGCTGAGGATGGAGGAAGAAACACATTAGGAATTCGGGGGGAGAAGATTTATGCATCCCAAGGCGGCATTGCAATAACAAACGCCACTAACGTGCACCTCTACTGCGGCGTTTCAACAACAAACGCCACTAAGGTACGGATCTATTGCGGCGTTTTAATACCAAACACCACTAAGATTCGCCTCTCTTGCGGTGTTTTTATAACAAACGCCACTAAGGTACGACTCTATAGCGGCGTTTTAGTAACAAACGCCACTAAGTTGCCTCTATTGCGGCATTTTTATAACAAACGCCACTAAGTTGTCTCTATTGCGGCGTTTTATTGACAAACACCGCCAATTTTGACATTCAATGGCGTTTTTTATAAAATCGTTGTTGTATGTGAAATCTTACTGGCGTTTGTACTATAAACGCCGCGAAAAACGTCATTATAGAACCATTATGTTGTAGTGACATATATAAAAATGGCTACAATCATATGATGAAAACACATTTTAACGCTGAGAACCATTAATTAATAAAGTGATCAAGAATGTTTATGTTATTTATTTTGTGTGGGTTTGAATCTTGATGTTGACTTAAATTTATTTTCATCTGCGGGCTTGAAGAGTTAAATCCAAATGCTCCAACCCTTACCTTACCTTTGACATGCCCTGCAGACAATTGTCTCACAAGAATCATTAAACTTCCATAATAATCTCAACTTGAATTAGATTGCTATTTTCCTTGCTTCACCTTAGTTCTACCTATAAACACGAGATCGTGTGTGATAAGATGCTCTTTCAATGATTGATTTTTGTTTTTTGAAAAATGGAGTGTACGTAATATGCAGTGTCCAAGATTTCTTTAGTGTCTTGAATCTATTGAGTGATCTCGGTGGTTAAAAGGAGTAGTATTCTCCTGTGCTTGAATTAGTATCAGGCCCTGCAAATCCGCCCATAACCGGTGCTGAGGTAGGTCCAATGAGTAACCCATCAGCCCCAAATTGAGGACCCCCGAGCATAATTGAAAGTGCTGCACACAACCCCTATTTTGGCCAGTATAACAGGACTAGTTTCACCATTATCAGTCCAGAAAAAGAGGAATGCATCGAATGTGTCATGGTAATCATTTGTGTTCCTATACCCTTCAGGGTTAAATGCACCAAACTTGAGGGACTTGTTTGCGTATCCAATTATCACCCATGGTCCCTTGAAATCGAAGCAGTCATGGAAATTAAAGGCTCTAAATTCATCAACAGAAGCCTTATAGCAGCATTTTAATTACCTACCCGCTCATAATTAACACATGACCAAGTTCATAACTATGTATAAATTGCATGTTAGTATTTTACAAATTCAGAGTCTAAATCACATGAAATATCTTAAAAGCATTGTTTTGAATCTAGATAACGATGCATGTGAATGAGAGATTATCTTCTAAGAATGTCTTGTCAATCAAAAGAAATAAAGGAAGATCAGTGTCCATAAGCACCTTATCTTAAATGGCCTGTCCTTTAATCGGTATTTGTCTCTTTCCCCTATTTCTTTACTGGGAAGTGCCACAAAATTGAAAGTTAATTTTCCATTTTCTCCTATATATATATTATAATCATAAAATATGAAACATGTAAGTATCAGGGTCCATAGCTCAGTGGTAGAGCATTTGACTGCAGATCAAGAGGTCACCGGTTCGAACCCGGTTGGGCCCTATAAATAATATTTTTTTTATATATTTTCTGAAAAAACAATACCTACACCTTGGATCACTTCATCTAAAATCGTAAATGGAACAGAGAATAAACTATTCCAACATTTTCACATCATAATAAAGCAGATATTTATTTATCAAGAAACATGATATCTAAAAAACGTTTGTTTCTTCTGCCTTTTAAGCTGCATGGGATGGCAGCTGATTCTTAGTAACATCCAGTGGTGGTTTATTACATGTCACAATAATTTCATCATTATCATCTGGATCGAACTCCTTGTAGCAAGCTATCCTCCCCAACTCTTCAACTTCTTCAATCACATTATCAAGCCTTGCGACAATCTCCACTAGCAAAGACGCGAAAGCGGCAAATGGAAGTGCTTCCGAGAACTCTAAGCTTGTTATTGCAATTTTGCTCAACTGTGGCCTCAAAGCCTTCCTTTCGTTCTCTCTAGCTTGTTCACTCACCATCCTCTTTCTTTTCCATTCCACAAATGCAGACGAGTCTGTTTTCACACTTTCTAATGAAACGCCATGGTCTTTTTCTTGCTTACAGCGAACGGCATGTGCAGCCGCTAGTGCTAGCATGCTGGTGGCCGCCTGGTTCTTTTTGGAACCTAGGAAGAGCCTTGGTTGGGATTTTATGGCAGTGTTGAGGTCTTGCAAGGCTTCATGAAGATGGTCGGAGAGTATCTCAGGGGAGCAATGACGACGTCTTCTCATGCTGTTTTCAAGTTCCATTAGTGCTTTGGTTACTTCTCCGGCAAGTCGAATGCAGGGGTCTTTGAAGCGTGCACGAACCGATCGTGGGGTCTAGAAAATACAATGAAAACGAACTATATAAGACTTTTTCTGTGGTTTACTACCATATTACAGATTATTGAATGACCAAATCTTAATTCATAATGGCTATGTTTGAAGACTACCTGAATTTCAGTTTGCAAGCATCCATGCAGAGCTACAACTGTGTATCCGAATTGGCGAAGAACGGCTCCCAGTTTCACATATTTCTGCCATGGAAATCTGTAGCAGTGCCTTGAATGCCTTGGTTCCCAACTTGCATATAACGCCTGCACAAAACATAATATTTCTTTATCTCAGCCATAAACAATATTGAGGGGATAATTTAGATAGCGCATGAAGGAACATGTAAAGAACTAACCAGAGTTTCGTCGATAGATTTGGAATCAAGAACTGCTCTATAACCGTTGTAGATAGGATCTTCTTCTGATTTGTCTTCGTTTTCTTTTATCTCAGAATCATTAAAGTATTCATTAACACAAGCTGCATCATTTTGTAGTTCCCAAATTTAGTAACACAAAAAAGCATTGGAAAATAATTAAATTTGATTACAGTTCCCAAATTTATGTACCTTCTATAGATTTGGCTAGCCCTTCAAGCTTGCCTACGTTGGAGTTATGGAGGTCTTCACCTGACCAAATTGGAAATACTACAAGACTCATGAAAAGACAAATGGCACAACCGATGGATATGGCGTAGAATCGATCATGTGCTATCTTTAATACATTCTCAACTCGGTAGCTTGACACTGTGATCAAATTGAAGGTCAAGAGGAATATCACAACACCATAGTCATAGTTTTTCTTTATATAGGGAAAGAACCTCATGTATGTAGCTGCGGTTCCTGTTGAATAAGATATAAAGAAGAGGCCTAAGTTGAGAGAAAATGAATACTGCCTTGACTCACAAGAAAGAGACTTACCGATCAGAAACACAGCCGCTCCAATGAAAACAGCTCGAACGAAGTCTCCGGATTTAATTGCAATATAGTTAATGAGGAATGCCAATGATCCTGCTAAGACTGTTCCTGACCCTCTATTGAGTCCTTTGCATAATGTTGCTCCTGTTAAAACAGAAATCAACATCGAATACTGCCTTGATTCTCAAGAAAGCTAATCCATGGTACGTAACAAATACAATAAGTAGGGTGAATTCCAACAAGAAAACACACTACCTGCAGTGAATTCAAGAACAACAGCTACTGTCATGACAGCCCAAATGGCACTTGTTCCGAAATCTTTGAACAATGGCTCAATCAAGTACAACAAGGAGACTAGTGTCAAAGATAGACCAACTTTGAAAGCATGAATCATCCTTCTAGGGTCTTCTCGACCAGCCTTCCAAAGGGTTCGCCATAAACAACCTGCAAGTCTTTTCAATTTCTCAGACAAATCAAGCATGCGTCTCTTCCAGTTGCTCTTAACATTTTCAAGCACACCGTTTGGTTCATTTCCATTCATTTCGGCCTCCAATCCTTCATGAACTTGGGTAGCCATTTCTTGAGAGGAAAATAGAAGAGGAGGAAATTGACTTACACAATGTGTATATGGTCTTAATAAAGGGGAGTATGTATTTACTTATAGTAATTGAAACTACACGGACCAGGAGGAAAAAAGCTGATGTTGTTTTGTTCAGAACCTCAACATATGAACCGGGATGGAGAGAGCTGATGTTGCTTCTAAAATCACATGCTTTCCATTATAAAGAAAAAAAAGTGGTCATTGTTTTTGCTCAGCCAACGAGAACACATTTTATTAATAAAAACACCATTAATGAATCAAACTACACCTTGCATTACTCAAGTTCAGATGCTGCAGGTTTCAATGGTGTAGAATGTAACCAAATTACAAGTCTATTTTACTTTGTATTTTATGATTAGATTTATGTACTTTGGAGAGGAGATAGTATAAATATCCATTAAGATGAGTGTTTAGAGGGGGGGAAATAACCTAATACGACTCCATGTAATCATAATGGCATAATGATAAAATTAACCTCCCATGTTTGTGCAAATGATCATTTTACTCTTTATTCTTTTTCTTTTAGAGCATTTTAACCTCTTTAACATTTTAATTTCTGTCAAAGTAACCATTAATTAAGCATATGTTAAAATGTCGTGTTGTTGACCGATAGTTAACTAACTATTTTCATACAACAATGACTATTTTAATCAAAAATTGAAACGTATTACCAAAATCCTTTAAAAATAGGCAAAGTAACTATCTATACAAATGCCGGGACTAATTTTATCATTATACCAACACTAATCTAATAAGGCTTTAATGTTATAAACACAACCTATTTTCATCAGACTGATCTCTTACTTTATTCATGAAACAAAAAAGAGAAAATACTCTTTTTTCACAAAACTTACAGATGCCATTTTCATAACCCATTCAAGCTACCATTTTTTTTCATTTCGTGCAACCAGTAACCATTGCTGACATATAAATTTGTGGTCAAAAACAGTACACCACCAGCCGGTTGACCAAACCAATAAAGGGATGCAATCACAAGAGATACTTTTCATGCAACCAGTAACTATCGTTGACACATAAATTTGAGGTTCCATCAACACTGCACGGCACATCAAACCAATAAAGGGCTGCAATCCCAAGAGGTTATTGTTAGGAGCAGCAAGTGTCAAGTTAATTAACTTTGTTTTGCGGGTAATTTTATTGTGCCGCAACCTAACTTAAATAACTTCAAGATGCAACAGAGAGCGTTCTGGGGTCACGGGCTAGAAAGAGTAGGGTAAGCATTAGCAAAGACAATTTTATTTCTTAACTAACGTCAACATCGAATAACATTATTCATATGAGGGGGCACCTGTCTCGGTTGCTCTCCAACACCTGTGCTTGACTTTAAAACCAACCCCGAGTTCTCGTGCATTCTCAACTTTTACACTTGCGGCTCAGATTTTTGTGTGTGTGCATTTGATTATAACCATTAAGAATATATAACGTAAGCAGTTTGTCCTATTAAATTAAATGCATCCAGTTTGAAGCAACAAAAGAGGATCTTCATCTTTGTCTTTAACGTTGTTATAATGTTATCTAGAATATATAACCTCTTTTGCTGAAACCATGCATGTTGAAAAATTTATGGGGGAGGATGGATACATGTGGAAAATCCATGGGTTTTCAATAAAATATCCTCCAATTGTTCATGGATGTAATAGCCCAAACATGATCATCAAAATTTAATATACGTGTTATTATTTGATTAGATAAGGGTTTGAGATTAATTGGGGTGGAGATTTAAATATTGAAGCTTTATAAAAAAGAGAATCCAAGCGGGATCCAATGGAGAGGAACATAAATGAAGAAAATGGAAGCAAAGATGAAGAAGAAGATAGGTATGGAGGAAAATAGAACAAGAACTAGAGAAGTATTATAGAAAATGGAACAAAAATTATGTGCTCGATTTTGATGGAAGGATGGTGAATGATCCAGGAGAGGAGCAAGGGAATAAAGCATGCTTAATCCAGAAATTTAAAAACCTTTTAAAGGGTTGCATGGCTTAAAGAATATATGCTTAAAAATGAATTAATGGCCATGATGATGTAAATACATGCTTATGTTAAGCGCCGCAACCACATTTCATTTAAGGTGGATACCCCTCATTTTAAAATCCGATTTCTTTTAATAATTATTTATTTTATTATCTATACTCGTCTTAAAATTTTATATGCTTCCCGCATGCAAAAAGTTAGTGTTATTAATATATATATATATATATATATATATATATATATATATGCATGTTTACACTAAAAAAAAATCTAGATCTATAAATACTTATGTTTTTGGAATATTTTATGTTAGTATTTTTTTTTTTGTCATCCCAGATCCAAGTTTTTTTATTGACTAATCCAAATCAACTTGCGTCGCACACCAAATTTTGGTGGGTGAGTCTCCTAACAGAGATTTTCTACATACACAAAAACTCAAACTCGAGATCTTGTTTAAGAATTATCAAGTTGTTTACCACTTAAACCAACTCGTGTTGGTAGCTTATCAATTTTGTAAATGGCATTCTTTGTTGGATGAAATTAAAACTAATTATCTTAAAAAAAGTTAATTGCATCCTATGTCCCTAAATCATGATCCACATTTTAAATTGGTTCTTAAACTTTTGAATATTCTAATTTCATCTTCAAACTATGATATTTATTTTAAATTAGTCCTTAAACTTTTGAATATTTCAATTGCATCCTCAAACTAGGACCATCATTCTAAATTGGTCCCAAAACTTTTAAATCTTCCAATTTGATCCCCAAAATATTCAAATATGTAATTAGTTTCAATCATAGTTTAACCTAATCTTTGTTTTTTTCAAACATATAATAATATAACTTGACTTATATGTTTTATTAATAAGGGATCTGATTAGTATATATGTATAGTTTTGGATAAGATTGGAATGTTCAAAAAGTTTGTGGACTAATATAGAATGACGGTCATAGTTTGAGGATGAAATTGAAATGCTTAAAAGTTTGAGGACTAATTTAAAATATAGCCATAGTTTAAGGATGAAATTGAAATATTTAAAAGTTTAGGAATCAATTTAAAATGAGAATTATACTTTGAAGACATGTGATACAGTTAACTCTAATTCTCACTGTTAAATTAAAACTAAACTAGGCTATTTTAATTATATTAAATTGGTTAGCCATCCATTTATAAAATATATAATCAAATCGGTCATATTAATCGACTTATAAAAGTATATTAGGTAAAGTACAGAAATGGTCCCTGACTATAAGGTGTTGCTTTGTTAAGTCCTCTGATTATAGGGTGCTATTTTGTTGAGTACTCCAACAATTAAAAAGTTACAAAATTGTCTCCTAACTATAAGACATTGTTTTGTTGAGTCTCCTAACTATTGAAAGTTAGAAAATAGTCACTCGACTATTCATATTTTTCCAAACTCATCCTTTTATGTTAGCCACGCTTTCATTTAACACGTTTCTCATCATCAATGAAATCCACCATTTATTTGTTAAAAGATCTTACGGCTTACCAAATAATTGTACTAGTAGGTCTGTAAACGAACCGAACACACACGAATAGAAGTATGTTCATGTTCGTTCATTTAATAAATAAATGAACATAAACGAACACGAACATAAACGAACAAATTTTTTTTGTTCATGTTCGTTCATTAAGGAATATAGTTTGTTCATTTAAATGATAAACGAACACAAACGAACGTAAACGAATACAAACGAACGTAAACGAACACAAACGAATGAACATAAACGAACATAAATGAACATAATAAATGAATATAAACAAACATAAACAAACACAATAAATGAACATAAACAAACAACACAAACACAAAAACAAACTTATTCGAACACAACAAATGAATGTAAAAAAAGTAAACAACAAGAATAACAACTTAAAATTCATTAATATAACCTGCAACTATAGAATTAATTTGTTCGAATACGACAAAAACATACATAAATCATAAATAAACTATATGAACATAATAAAGTCTTAAAGTTAATTTGTTCAACAAAACAATCTTCTTGAAATCCAAACAACTTCAATAATTTTCGTAACATATTCAACTTGCCAACTATTCGAACATAAATGAACGAATATAAACGAACATATAATCGAACGTTCACGAACGTAAATGAACAAACGAGCACTTTATTCGTGTTCGTTCATTTAATTAAACGAACGCAAAATCTTGTTCATGTTCGTTCATTTAATAAATAAACGAATATAAACGAACTTCCCGCCGCACGGTTCATGAACGGTTCACTGAACGTTCAGTTAATTTACAGGCCTATGTACTAGTTATTTTTTTATGAATTAAGAGTTAATTACACTATATTTCCCTAAACTATGATCATCATTTTAAATAGGGTCCTAAAATATTGAACATTATAATTTTATGTGTATAATATGCTTTCGTTTTAAATTAGTCCCTAAACTTTTGAACATATCAAATTCATCCCCAAATCATAACCCTCATTCTATATTGATCCCCAAGCTATTAAATAGTTTAATTTCAACTTTGAAGTTTTGAATGATTTAGGGGGATATTATTGGAATGCTCAAAAGTTTAAGGACTAATTTAGAATAAGGGTCATAGTTTGAGGATGAATTTGGAATGTTCAAGAGTTTGGGGATCACTTTAGAATGGGAGTTATAATTTAGGAATGAAATTAAAATATTAAAATGTCTAGGGATCAATTTAAATTAAGATTCATAGCCTAGGGATGTATGTTGCAATGAACTTTTAATTTAATGTTGAAATTTGTTTATATCAACTTATTAAGTGATATTAATAATAAAATAGAATATTGATATCCTCAGAGATTCTAAGTTCGAGTAGCAACGTCTACAAAATATTTGTTGTCAATAAATTAAATATTTTTTAATGTATAATACGTTGTGATCCCCTCAAATTATTTTTAAAAAATAAATTATATGAAACAAAATTTAATTGATAAATTCGAGGGTTTAACGGCGTCAAACGGCTCACTCTTCAGTCAATTCTATTCGCATAAATTAATGAAAGATGTGTTCAAGTTGTTAATTAATTCACGTAAACATTTATAATCCCATCGAGTAAAGGTTGAAGTAGGCTGTAGCAAGGGCAGAGGTTAGCCCATTGTTTTTATAATTAGCAAAAAAAAAAGGTTAATACACAAAACACCCTTTGTTTATGAATCGAATTTTAAATTAATGTCAGAACTTTAAAACATTTCAATTGAATGTTATCATCGCTTGCAGCTTTGATGTTAAATCTCATTTTCAACCTGATATGGTCTACTAATGATTATACTGATGAAATGATTTGATTAAATGAATTTTTAATTAAAATGTTTTAAAATTTAAATATCGATTTAGAATTTGACCCGGGGACGTTCATTGTTTTGAAAAGTAAAAAAGTAATTTTAAAAATTGTTTTTAGATTGTAGGTGTTTTGTCGTAAAAAAATATTTTTAAAAAGATAAATGACTATTTTTAATATGGTATAGTTAAAAATATAAATTTAAATTATTTTGAAATTATTTTAATGTTATGATATATAAAACATATTAAATTAATTTATGATAATATATAAAAATAATTTTATTAAAAATATATATCTTTTAATAATTGTAATTTGAAAATATATAAAATTTTGAACTAATTTTTATTTAACAATTTTGATGAAAAGATATAAAATTTTAAATCTACAATTTTATTTTAAAGTTACCCTTTAAAAATAGTTAAATGATTAAAATGAAAAGAATGATAGTTAAAATATTAAACATATAGTTTACCTTAATATAAATATTAAATTTTAATTTGACTCCAAAAACATTTTTCCAAACATATAAATTAGAATTTTCAATCTTTATCTTTAGATTAAAAAAACTTTTTAAATAAATTTATTAGTATTATTTATAACTTTAAAGACATTTTTATACTTAAAAGCACATTTAAAAAGCAAGAGTAATTAAGGAAAGCGATGATGGAGAAATAATTTTATAGAAAGGAGAGAGATGGCAGCCAGCTCTTGTTGTCCGTGAGTATTATAAATAACCAAGTCTATTCCAATTACGATTTGATTACCAACATCAAAGCCCCTTCGCTTTACAAACCTTTCTAAAACCATAGCCATGGCGATGATGTCAAAGCAAGATCCGTCACCTTCTTTTTTACAAACACTACAAGAAATCATGAGACTTTACAGATCACTCCCACCAAGGCCTTCAATTGCTGATGTTGAAGCATCCAAATCCGTTCTCAAAACTTTGGAAAACGAAGAAAAAGTCAAGCTTGAAGAGATCTCAAAAGAAAAACCACCCGAAGATGTCCCTGGTGAACTCTTCTCCATCCTGCAACAGGTGAGGAAAACTATGGTGTTGTTTCAAAGTCATGAGCAAAAGAAAGATGCCCTTCACTTGGTTGAAGCTGACAAGCTGTTTGAGACCTTTGATGGGTTGATTCAAAGGGCTTCGTTGCTGGTTTCTGGGGATACCCAGGATGAAAAGGTCACTACTTTTGGGGAACATGTAAGCAAATTCGATACAGAAACTATTATCACTGATGACAGTTTGGTGAAGCAAGAGGAAGATGGTGAATTGGATAAAGATGATGCAAAAGGTTTGGTTAGAACTTCTTCTGCAAAAGCCTCTTTCTTTCGGGTGAAGCATACAATTTCTTGTTATTTTTGGCCAATTTCAGTTTCTTGTGAAATTTTGCTCCTTTATCACTGAGTTCCTGTGATGAATCGAAATCTGGATAAGTAGAAGCAACTAGAATTAGGGATAGGGATAGGGATGGGCATGGAATCGAAACTGACGGTTTTTGAGCTGACCCGATCGGGTGGATTTTTTTAAAATAATTTGGTTTTGGGTCAGGTCGTGGTTTTTTTAATATGATGTTTGGATCGAGTCGAGTTTGGATTTAGGATGAAAAATATCCGACCGAATCCGATCCAAAAAAATATAAAATTTTACCTTATATATTTTGAAATAATTACAATAATATCCCTCTATATATTATTTTTCTTAATTAAGTCACTTATTTTAATGAATAAAAATAATATTTTTTATTATTTCATGCCGGATCGGATCGAATTTTTAAGTTATATATCAGGTCGAATTCAGGTCGGGTGAAATCTTGTTTTGGTCGGGCCTTGGGTAGAAGATTCCTTGTTCTCGAGTCGGGTCGGTGGACCAAAAACCCGACCTGACCCGACTCATGCCCATCCCTAACTAGAATTCTTAATTTCAAGTTATATTTTGTTTTTGGTTGAATTGAAAAGGAAAGATCATTAAAATAGGTTGATAGGCCATGAAAATTCAGTCCTAAATGAAGGTTTTCGGTGTATCTGCAGGTGAAAATAGCAGTGAAAAACTGAACCTAATGAAGACAGCGGCGCTTATCGAGAATACTGCAAGAACAGGAGGGGTAGTTCTTGATCTTAGGGGCAAGTTGATGGACCAGATTGAGTGGCTTCCTGTATCGATTGGGAAACTGAACGATGTAACCGAATTGGACATATCCGGAAACCGTATCATGGCACTGCCACCCTCCATTGGTGGTCTTCAAGCCTTAACGAAGCTTGATTTTCACTCGAACCAACTTATAAACCTACCTGATTCCGTTGGGGAGCTTGTCAATCTAATAGAGCTTGATCTCCATGCGAACAGGTTAAAGTCGCTTCCTGCCTCTTTCGGGAACTTGACGAACCTCATGAATCTAGATTTGAGTTCAAATGAGTTCACACATTTGCCAGAGGCAATTGGAAATTTGAGCTCTTTGAAGAGACTAATTGTCGAAACGAATGAGCTTGAAGAACTTCCATACACAATAGGGAATTGCTCCTCGCTATCAGAGTTAAAACTAGATTTTAATCAGATAAAGGCTCTTCCCGAGGCAATCGGGAAGCTCCAATGCTTGGAGATTCTAACTGCACACTACAACAGGCTCAAAGGGTTACCGACAACAATAGGCAACCTTTCCAATTTAAAGGAGCTTGATGTAAGCTTCAACGAGATTGAATTCATCCCCGAGAACCTCTGCTTTGCAGTAAGTCTCAGAAAATTGAACGTGGGGAAGAACTTTGCGGACTTAAGAGCCTTACCGAGATCAATCGGAAACCTCGAGAAGCTTGAAGAGTTGGATATAAGTGACAACCAAATCAAAGTTTTACCAGATTCTTTCGGATCATTATCGAAATTGAGAGTTCTCGGGGCTGAAGAGACTCCATTGGAAGTTCCACCAAGAGAAGTGATCAAATTGGGTTCTCAGGTAATGCTAGTTTGATGATTGCTGGGATATTCACTGTTTAGGTCATATCAGGTACTAACTTATTCAACTTGTTTGTTCATTAGGCTGCTGTTGAATTCATGGCTAATCTCGTTGCAAAGAGGGATACTACCATATCAGCACGGGCAAAGAAGAAGAGTTTCTTCTCGAGGATTTGCTTCATTTGTTGGCCGTTCTGAACCGCAACCGCGAATACGGACAACATGTAACCGGTACTATACTTATTTTTATGTTCAGCCTCCTGTACATAGCTCAAATTGTTTTGCTTTCTTTTGAACGTTTCAATGTGAGTTATATTACATGTCAGCGTTCTGCAAAGTTCTAAATCTTATTGCTTTTAGCTCCCCCCCCCCGGCCGGGGAAGTCGAGTGAAGTAAAGAAGTTAACAATTGTAAATCTTTTGGCATCTATTCTACTCTCTTTTTTGGTATAAATTTTGCTCCTAATGCATCTTTTTGCTCTCCAAGATATTCTCACTCAATTAAATCAATCTCAACCAGCATGAATGAACACATTATTTTATGTTAGAGTGTATGAATCTAAGAATTATATTAAAAAATTAAGAGTATGAAATTATATTATTAATACAATATATTAAGAAAATACTAAACTTATTTGAGAATCTAAAAATTTCCGAAAAATGGTAATTTTCCCTTAAAATTTGATTAAGAATCTAATCCCAGGACTTCTCAAGAAAACTTGCGTTAATCAGCTCTTAGCCTGCTCCTAATTGATTTTGATTAAAGCACACTAAATTTATAATTTATACATAATACAAGGACTAATAAAAAGATTGTCCTTTCAATTGATATCTATGTTTTGACCTAAAAATGGATATCAATTGGTACGTGAAATTTGACCAATCATTTGGCAAGTTTATCTTGTATTATAAATTTTAATGTTAACTATCATTTACTATTATTAAGTCCACAATATCTTTTACTCATGATATTATAGTTTTTCAACATTCTTCAATTTTAAAATTATCAATTTATGCACCAACATTAAATATATAAAAAATTGGTCACCTTTCAATTAAAAATAATAACTAGGTTATTATAATTAGATTTTTTACTATATGATATATGATGTCACGTCTTCCGACATACAATGTAGTATTATGCACATGTAACTTTTGGAGAAAATATTTTTAATTATCAGACTTAAGAATTCAGAATTGTCACCAACTTTTTGTTTGACATTTTTTTATATTAATATTGATATCTGTTATCATTGTTTGCATTACTTTTATAATGATTTAATTGTCAACACCTTTTTTCCCGGAAAATAAAGAGAAAACAGCAGCCTACATAGACTTAACAATTGTCAACACTTTTTAAATTCTTAAAATAGACAATTTTAATTTTAATTTTAATTTTAATTTTAATTTTAAAATATATCGAGATGATAATTAAATTAATATTTCATAAGTATTCAATATTTTATTTTATGAAATTAAATTTTATTTTTAACATATATTTATACTCTTTTAACTCCGAAGTTTTTATCAACAAATATAATTTTAAAAAATATTAGATTTTTATTACTTGAAATAATAAATAAGGTAAACAGTACATATATGACCACTTAATTATTGTAGTTTTAGTTTTAACCATCAATATTTTTTAATTTTTTCAATCATATTATTTAACTATTTACTTGTTGCAATCAAGTCATCATTATAGGGTAACTTAGAAGAGGAATAGTTAAGTGATATGATTAACGAAATAAAAAAATCGATTGTCAAAATAAAAAATGAATATTAAGTTTTCATAGGTCTAATTTACCCTAATTAATATATATATATTGCATCTAAATAAATTTAAGTGTTTATTATAAATAAATGTAAATTTTGAAAATAATAACTAAATAAAGATATCAATATAACTATTTGAAAGAGCAAAATAATAGAGTAAACCACATATAAAATTCATCATTTTTCTAAAACATAATCTTGTCACATCATAGTAGCTGTATTGTTACATAAAATGACTCCTAATCTATCATCTTCATCATCATTATTGGTACAAGAATTAGCCTCATGAATTTGTTTGGTTCCCCTCATCAATTCTTTATCGTCTCTTTCAATCAACCGTACTCAATATTATATAATTAAGACACATGAATCACAAATAATGCATGCATGGAGTATCATGGATAAGGATAGAATGAAAAGAGCTAGTAGAGTCCGCCTTCTAAAAATTTAAAATTATCTTATAGTAGAATCTTTATAAATTAATACTCGATAAATTAATAATCTCTTTAAAATAATAATTTTTCTTGATCCCGATTTAGGTTGAAGTTTTAAATTAATAATATAACAATTTTTGGAAGACCCTTATATAAATTTATGGTCCCTTAAATATTATAATTTAATAATTCTATAAAATTACAAATATAACTAGGACAACTTAGTAAAATATGATTATATTGTTGTTTGCTTCTTCTTAAAATTTAAATCTAGTTATATTTGATCTCTAACTTTCCTTACCATACATGAACTATCAAGTTTTAACTAGTACTACGTACTACAATGAACTTTAGTTTTTAGAGATATGTATTATTTAATTAGTCACACATTGTACATGAATAACATTCAATTAGTCAGTACAATAAATATGTTTTATTCATCAAGAATAATGTATGTTCGTTGAATCGGAAAAAATCTCTTTAAATTGATAAATTATTAATTTATCGATTGATTAATACCTCTTTAAATTTAGGGTAAAATACACGAGAGACCACCAAACTATGGTCATTAATCAATCTTACGACCGAACTATTTTTTGTCTCAATTCGACCACCAAACTTTTTAATTGATTCAATCAGACCACCGCACCGTTAATTTTAACAGACTTGGTGATGTGTCCGTTAATAAAACTGGCATAATTATATTTTGGTCCTTAATATTTACATATTCTATCAATTTAGTCACTGTTTTAATTCAATTAAATAAATTTAACTATCCAATTAGAACATGACACATGTCAATACATGATTGGAAGGTTTTATTTATGAATTTTAAATTATTTAATTAATTAATTTTTTAACTATTAGGTGGTGACACGTGTCACCACCCCGATTGAAATGGAAATTTGAAGAATAAAGATGCAGTTGGGGAGGATCGAATCTGCATCTTTGGGGAGAGTAACCAAGAGCCCAAACCGTTGGGTCAAAGCTCCCCAATAGTTTTAACTTACAACAATTTGTATTTGACTTGTAAAAGTTAGTTAATGATAAAAAAATTAAACAAATTATTTGTTTAAATAAATTATTTTTTCTTTAACCGTTAATCGAACCGATTTTTATTTGAAAATTATTAACCGAATTTTATTTCTTTAACATTAATCGAACCGAAATTATTTGACCGTTAATCGAACCAAAATTATTTGAAAATTATTAACCAAACCAAATTAACCAATTTTTTTCTTTAACATTAATTGAACCGAAATTATTTGACCGTTAATCGAACCAAAATTCATTTGAAAATTATTAACCGAACCAAATCAACCGATTTATTTTTTAACCATTAATTGAACCGAAATTATTTGACCGTTAATCGAATCGAAATTTATTTGAAATTTATTAGCCGAATAAAAAATTATTTTTCCTTAACCGTTAATCGAACTGAAATTTATTTGAAAATTATTAACCGAATCGAATTAACCAAATTTTTTCTTTAACCATTAATCGAACCGAAATTATTTGATTGTTAATTTTGAAATAATTTCGGTTCGATTAATGTTAAAGAAAAAAATTCGGTTAATTTGGTTCGGTTAATAATTTTCAAATAAAATTCGGTTCAATTAACGGTTAAAGAAAAAAATAATTTATTTAAACAAATAATTTGTTTACTTTTTTTATCATTAACAAACTTTTACAAGTCAAATACAAATTATTGTAAGTTAGAACCATTGGGGAGCTTTGGCCCAACTGTTTAGGCGCCTGATTACTCTCCCCCAAAGGCGCAGGTTTGATTCTCCCCAACTGCATCTTTGTTCTTCAATTTTCCATTTCAATCGGGTGGTGACATGGTCACCACCTAATTGGTTAAAAGATCAGTTAATTAAATAATTTAAAATTCATAAATAAAACTTTCCAATCCTGTATTGACACTTATCATGTTCTAATTGGATAGTTAAATTTAGTGACTAAATTGATAGAATATGTAAATATTAAGGACCAAATATATAATTATGCCATTTTAATTAACGGACATGTCACCAAGTATGTTAAAGTTAACGATGCGGTGGTCTGATTGAATCAATTAAAAGTTTGGTGGTCGAATTGAGACAAAATATAGTTCGGTGGTAAAATTGATTAATGACCATAGTTTGATGGTCTCCCGTGTAGTTTACCCTTAAATTTATAATATTACGTGATCCCGACATTATTAATTTTTAGAAATTTTACTGTATTTTAGATATTTTCTTTGTATTTTTAATAATATTCAGTCTTCACCCTTAAAATTTTAGAATTTTGTTTTCACCTTAAAGTTTTAAAAATTCATTCACAACATAAAATACTATATTCATCCATAATCATAAATATTATAATCAAAACTGTGTCAAAATTTATTTTAAAGAACACAATCTATATAAATATATAAAGATTATTACCCTTAATTTAGAACAACTATGAGTAGAATTACAAACAATAGGCACCGAATAAGACCAAATTCATAGACAATGACATTCAACAAATATTATATAATCAGCCGATGGGGAACTTAACGAGGACTAGTGGGGCCCTGAACCCCTCCCCATATATATATATATATATATATATAAATTATTAAAATTAACCTCCTTTAAAATGTGTATAATAATAATTAAATTTGATTATTTCAAAATATATATTTATTGTTTTACTTAAATATCATCTATTAAAAAGAGAGTTAAAATATATTTTTTATTATTATTTTTTTTTAAATTAATGAAAAGTCATTTTCCTTTGTTATTTTTTATTTTAAGATACACTATTTTTTCGTAATTTTTTTTATATTTTGTTGTTCATCTTCTTTAGGTTGTTTATCTTGTGTAAGTCAATTAAGTTGATGACTTTAATTATCAAGTATTAATAAGGTTGCGCCTAAGCCCTTGTCATGGCCATGTGAATATTTTGAACATAAGGGAGGGGATGTTCACAAGTATTAATAAGGTTGTCATTTGCAGCTTGACGTTTATCTATAACGGGAATGTTTTTCTAATCTCTTTGGAAACTCTTTTATCAACAAAGATGCACA